TTCAGTCTTAGGGACTACCTGTTTGCAACCTCATATTTAGAAGTTATTAAACTCTCTCATAATGGATTCCAGCGGATGATAATGACATGTGCTTCTCACTCTAAACCACTGAGTATTTGTGCTTTTAAAATATTCGCATTGAGTTGGGTGCCAGTGGCTCACGCCTATAATCCTAGCTACTCAGGAGGCTGAGATCTGAGAGTCATGGCTCAAAGCTAGCCCAGGCAGGAAAGTCCGTGAAACTCTTACCTCCAATAAACCACTCAGAAAACCAGAAGTGGTGTTGTGGCTCAAGTGGTAGAGTGCTCGCCTTGAGCCTAAGAGCTGAGGGACAGCACCCAGGCCAGGAGTTCAAGCTACGTGACCGCCAAAAAAAAAAAAAAATGTTCCCATTGTCTGAACCAATGAAGACTAGGAATTTCTGCCATTTGGTGGGGGAGGAAATGGGGTGGGAGCCATTTTAAAGCTTAGAAGAGTTGCTCTAGACCTACGATGGGGCTGTGTCTTCCGATAGGGCTGTGTCTTCCTCTCTTTTTTTCTTTTTCGTTCCTCTTTGCAACACTAAGCTTTGAGCCCAAGGCCTTGCACTTGCTAAGCTGGTGTGACATTGCTGGGCCACACCTCCAGCCCTGTTTTCACTGGTTCTGTTTACGCCAGGACCTCCCTGTCTTCCAGGCATGGAGAGCCCTAGAGCTGCTGTCTACCTACTTTTAAGTTTCCCATTGTTACCAAGAACACAGGCCATACACTGTATCCAGCTTCTTGCTGTGGAGATGGAGTCTCAAAGGCTCTTCTGCTCAGGCTAGCCTGATGCCATGAACCTTCCAGTGCCAGCCTCCTGTATAGTTTGGGATGACAGGCAGGAACCACCATGCACAATTATGGGTTGAGAAGGGGTCTCTCAAACTTTCATGCCCAAGCTGGCTCCTTCTCAGCCTCCCAAGAAGCTAGGATTACAGTCATTAGCTACCAGAGCCAGTCTACTGATTGTCTACTAACAAAGCATGAGATTTGGAGTTCACAAGTATTAACTAATCAATCCGGACTTTTTATTTCTTGATTGTTGAGTTGATGGATCATTTAGCCTCTACTAATAAAACGAATGAAAACAAACTTTCCAAGTTAAACTGACACTCTCAGTTGTGTGGTGGGGATGTGGGAGTAAACACAAGGACTTCTGAAAGTTCTATGACATCCTCTTCATGGAAGTCTTTTAGCTTCCAGCTGCTGAACTTTGAGCTGATCGTATTTTATTTGGCAAACCAGATTTCTTGGCTGTAGCTGTGTAACAAAGAAGACATGCTGTTCTCCTGGCTTTACGAAACCTACCAGCTTTTCTTAGTAGGTGTCCAATGTTTTTGGGTTTTAGTTTAACTTATATAGTTATCTAACCTGGTCTAAACCTGGACATGGATTTAAATCAATAAATATGACACCACTGTTTTCTGACTTCTATCAACAACATCATTATTAATTGTGTTTTCAACAGATGTTAATCGTTAAGTTTCCCTCCCCCCCCCCCCCCCACACACACACACTTACCAGTTAGCAGTATTTGTGAAGAAAGGGTGCATTTACACCAATAGTAACAGGACAAACCAGTGCATGGAAATTACAGCCAAAGGAGAAAGATGGCCAACCTGTGGAAGTTGTTTAAAAATAGAAAAGAGGGAGGCCTGAAGAAGGGTGGACTTTTGAAGATCAGGAAGGTTGACCTTAGAGGTAAGGTATGATAAATGCAGATCCAGTAGGGAGAGAGAGAAAACCTGGCTAGGAACCAGAAAAGAAAACAGAAAGGAAAAGAAATTCAATGGGAAACTGGAGGAGTATTTGGAGAAGCTGGAGGAAGTCAGGATTGGGGGGATGGGAAAATAGTCAACCCATTAATATGAATAATGAACTTAGAGGGATGAACTGGTTGACAGGAGGATAAATTTGATTTACTGTTAGATTTCGTATGATAATAGACCAGGAAAGAGGCATTAAACCGAAAGATAAAATACATATTTTCAAAATCCAGATCTAACTGGATTTGACTTGGTTTTATTTTGACATTTTGCAGTTTGAATTAAGATTGTGTTGTTTGGTGTATTAACAAGATTAATATTTAATGTACAGGCGAAGAAGTGGGAGTCTTGAATGCTGACACAGGAAAGCTCTTTAGAAATCATATAATCCATGTTGCCTAGAAATCATTTACCATTGATCTAATTTGGGCCCCAAAAGATAAAGTAATTAGCCTGAAGTAATATAGCCTATTACCAACAAATAATATTGAAACACGGTTATTCAATAATTCTGGTCCCTTGTTTTATCTATATGCTTTATCTTAAAAAAAAAAATCTAGCCAGGCAAGTTGGCTCAAGCTATAATCCTAGCTACTTGGGAAGCAGAGATCAGGATATTATAGTTCAAAGCTACTCCAGGCAGAAAGTTCTGGAGATTCCATCTCAATCAATAACTACACACAGTGACATGTACTTGTCCCCCAGTGATTTGAGGAAGCACAAGTAGGATCGAAGTCCAGGGCAGTCTGGACATAAAGCAAGACCCTACCTTAAATGCTAGTAATCTGCAGCTCTCAGCTGTCATCCTAGCTACTCAGGAAGCTGAGATCTGAGAATCAGAATTCGAAGCCAGCCTGAGCAGAAAAATCCCCAAAACTCTTACCTCCAATAAACTAGCAAAAATGCAGAACTGAAGATATGGCTCAAGCAGCACAGTACCAACAGTGAGCAAAAAAGGTAAGCAAGGTAGTGAGGCCTTGAGTTCGAGTCTTAAGGAAAACAATCACAACAGAGGGTTGGCAGCATAGCTTAAAAAGTAGCACATCTGCCTAGCTAACTCAAAGCGCTGAGTTCAAAGCTCAGTAATTCTTAGAAAACCAAAGTCTATACACAAACATTCACACAACTCTATATAACTATATGCCCTAGGTTATATTAGACTTTTTCCAGTATTTCTTTCCATTGGGTAACTCCACCCACACAACACACACACACACACCCATAAGCCCTCTCATTTCATATGTCTCACCATAATTATTTTTAGAAATTCCATACGCATATGCATACCTGTTTGTGACTGTGTGCATGCATCTGGAGTGTCAGAGGTTATGGCTTGACCAAAATGAAAATGTTTATGCTTTTCTTCTTCCCTCACCTTCTCATTAAACCCTACCTTAGGGAAATCCTTATCAATTGAAAAGATTGAACCTAATTAATTAGCTACTATATTAATTAGCTACTATATTAATTTCTCACTTTATCATAGGAATATATCAGGAAGCACCCTACCACTCACTCTGTATATAGGGATAGCTTGTATACAGTCTTTGCTTCTGCAAATAGTTCTTCAATAAACACATTTAGATCTGCATCCATATATGTTAGTGCCCTCATTTCTCTTGATAGAGTTGGTTTCACTAAGTCAAGGACATGTGTTTTTAGCTTTAAAAACCAACATGCCTCACACCTATAATCCTAGCTACTGAGGAGGCTGAGATCTGAGGATCATGGTTCAAAGCCAGCCTGGGCAGGAAAGTCCATGAGACTCTTATCTCCAATTAATCACAGAAAAAGCCAGATGTGGCACTGTGGCTCAAGTGGGAGAGCACTAGCCTTGAGCAAAAGGAGCCCAGGGACAGCACCCAGACCCAGAGTTCAAACCCCAGGACCAGGCAAAAAACAAAACAACAGAACAAAACAAAACACTAAACTGCTTCCTCAAGAAAGATGTAGTGGTGCACATTTGCACCTACAATTAATAAAAATAAATGCATTCTTTCATTAACTCTCTCCTTAAAAAATATTTTGAAGTCTTTGCAAGAAGAGTTAGAATCAAATAAAATCTCATTAATTTATTGGCATTCATTTGACCTCAAATAAATGTGATGGTCTTTTCATAAGTTGGTTGCTTGCTTGGATTTCTTATCTGGTAAGCTGAATTTCCTCTTTTCTTACCCATTTTTCCAATGGATTGTTTGGTTTTCCTTTTAATTTTTAAAAGCTCTTATTTCATTGCCTACATTTTTGCTTATCCTTCAAGTTTGCAAATGATTTTTTTCTCAAATCTATTGAGTTTTTATTATGTCTTTTGTCATATAAAAGTTTTGAATTTTATTTCCTTATTTAATGTAGTTCTTTAGTATCTTTATGTGCTCATTTGTAATTTTTGTCTTGTCAGAGAAGCTGACTACCTCAGCCTAGGTTGTATATCTAAGTTCCTAGATTTTCCTACAGAATTTTAATTTACTTAAATATGTATTTTGCAGTTTAATCATTTACCTGTCTAAATCCATTCAGGGTTTATTTTGGGACTTGTATAAAATAAAGATCTTTCTTTCTTTCTTCATAGATAAATATACCAATTCCCCTTATATTAACTAAGCCAACCTTTTCCCACCAAATGTGAACTCTTCTTTTGTCATACATCAAATCCACATTTATTTCTTGACAATGTCTAGTTCAAATATCTTTATCTGTTCAGACTGGTTTCAATACTAACTGATTTAATTATAACAATTTTTCAGGATTTTCTGATTTCTGGTTAATCAGATTACACAAATGACTTTGAATATGGTTATCAAATATAATTAGTTATATTAAAACCTTTGTGTAATCCAGGAACTCGTGGCTCATGCCTATAATCCTTGCTACTCAGAAGACTGAAATCTGAGGATCACACTTTGAAGCCAGCTCAGACAGAAAAAGTCCATAAGACACTTGTCTTTGATTAACCAGCAAAAAATGAAAGTGGAGGCATGCCCCAAGTGGCAGAGCACCAACCTTGAGGAGGAAAAGCCCAAGCAGAACCCAATACACCAGAATAGTATTTGTGTAGTTCTTTTTAGAACATCTGCCTTCCCAATGTTGCCTCCGTAGATGTGGGAAGACACATTTGAATGTGCTTATAGGAGCTAAGAAAAAAATAGCAGCTCAGCCTGGTCTTCATTCTTCCATGGGGTGCCATATTAATGGTACTCTCTCTTTCATCCCCAGGTTGGTGCTTGAGTTCACTCTGAGCTCACACTGCTGCCCAGTGGAGACACCCTTGGAGGGAGCATTCAGACGTGTCCTAGGAGAGGAATTCGATGGGGACTGTTCCCGACTCTCTGAGATCCACTAAAACCACCCTGATTGCATCTGCTGGGAAAGAAGGGACTGGAGGAGAATTACAAGCCGTCCCCTCTCCGCAGGATGAGAATGCCAATGGCCTTGCTGGAGCTCCAGCAACACCACACCTCAGCCTGGGCTCAGCCCCGGAGGTCCTGATGCAAACCTGTGAGCATGACACCCCTCAGCCAGACATGTCTTCTGGTTTGTTCAACCAGCTGGAGAAAGCATGTCTCACCTGCAACTCTCCCAGTGACCCCCAGCTACCGGGAAGCAGCAAGCCCACCACCCCCTCCCCAACATCTGCAGTAGGAAAAGATTTTGGGCATTCACCCTCCACAATGCCAGCCAATCAGCACACGGGCCAGGCCATCCCAGGTGATCAGCCCAATGCCACTGGCTCACTGGTCCCTAAAGATACCTCCATGAAATCCCAGAGCACCACCACGGAGCAACCGGAGAACAACAGTGCAACACCGCCACCAAGCAACAGAGAGCCAGATGAGAACTCAAGTCTCCCTACTGGCGACACCTGTGGCAACAACAAAGAGATCGCATCTTGTGATTTTCCTTCTCCAGATAAACTCCAGGAAAGGGTACACACTCCGCATGCCCAGGTGTGGAGTCATTCATCCTCTCCCACAGGTGCACGGGAAGGGGAAAGGCAGGTCTCTGGTTCCATGAAGACACCCTGTAACCCTGCAACAAGAGAGGGCGAAGTTACAGAGACCAGAAAGCCCTCTGCCACCCTCTCTGAGAGCCAAGGCTTCACAGCTGAGACACCTCCACTGTCGCAGCTCACTAGCGAAGATTCGCCATGTCCTCAGGATTCTAAGACTGAGCCCACCCAGCATCGAGTGTCCAAGTTCAGAGAAGCCAGTACAATGACCACCCAAACTGATCCTGAGCCCAGGGAAGTCCCCAGCAGGGCTCAGCAAGATGCTGAGGTTCAGGCCGTGGCCCTGGTGGAGAGCAGGTCAGTCTCTACCAGCCCCAGCATCCTCACCGCCTTCTTAAAGGAGATCCCTGCCCTGGAGCATCTGGAAGCACAGGAGCAGCTGAGTGTCATCTGCCATGGCCGTGGCGGTGGCAGCCACGTGTTGGAGCTCTGTCACAGCACCCTGGGCCCCCAGGTGCCGCCAGGACCCTGCCCTGCCATCCAGCCACCGCTGCCCACCCATGCCAAAGCTGCAGCTGCTTCTGCAGGTTTCCAAGGAAACCACAACCCAGCGAGCCCAGCAGGGGACATCTTCAAAACCCCATCCATCAGCGTGGCCTCCAGTCCGACTCAGGATGGATGTAATCAAGAAGAGGGACGATCAGCGGGCATGACTCCAGTGGGGCAAGACCGAACCTCCACGCCGCTAGCGGGGACTCATTCCAGCTCTCAGAAAGCTAGCCTGGTCGACCAGATGTCCCTTGGTGCCAATGCCCAAGATGGACCCAATGAGGGATCAGACCCCTGTGAACCCCAGGAATCTGCATTTGGAATGAAAACCACAAATGACCACAAAACAGAACCGCCTGGCCAACCATCCATCTCCTGTAGTCCCCCCGCCAGCGGAGATGGCCAGGCTGAGAGCTTGGACCTCATCCTGAAAGGAGGTGCAAAGGAAGGGACGCCGGCCTCACCGCCAATAGGAAGAGAACTAGAGTCTGCAGACATGAATACCCCAGAGGCCAAACCCTTACTGCTCACTCCTCAACCTCAAGAGAATGCAGGCCCAGGGTCCACGGCGAATAAGAAAGAACCCTCCCCAATAAGAAAGACCCAGGAGAACATGTCAGAAGACCCCAGACAGGCCAGGCCAGCCGCCAGCCTGAGCTTACCCCCCGACTCTCTGGGGGACTCCAGCCCAGGGTCTGGCAAAAGGACCCCTTCTCGGTCAGTGAAGGCCAGTCCCCGCAGGGGCAGCCGGGTCAGTGAGTTCCTCAAGGAACTGAGTGTGACCGCAGCGGCCGCTCAGGTAGGGCTCACCCCGGGAGAGAAGAAAAAGCAGCTGAGCCTGGACTCCAAGGTCCAGCTGAAGCAGTCCAAGCGTGTGAAGGACGTGGTGTGGGATGAGCAGGGCATGACCTGGGAGGTGTACGGTGCTTCTCTGGACCCAGAGTCCCTGGGAATCGCCATCCAGAACCATTTACAAAGGCAGATTAAGGAACACGAGAAATTAATCAAAACACAAAGTGACCAGACCCGGAGATCCATTTCCTCTGATACTTCTTCAAATAAAAAGCTCAAGGGAAGGCAGCATAATATCTTCCAGTCCATGCTGCAGAATTTTCGTCGCCCCAACTGCTGTGTTCGCCCAGCCCCCTCTTCTGTGCTGGACTAAAAGCAGACGTGGGGGGATGGAGGGAGGACAGGGGGATTCATGCATACATTTATGGTATTCCTACATGTGTCTGTCAAAGCTGACTTCGTTTTACTTTTCCTGAGGAAACAGGAGAATGAAGCAAGTGTGACCTATAGGAAAATTCTATTAAAAACTGTTGGATCCCTTGACTTAAGTGCCATACCAAATAATAATAATAATTAAAAATTCATTTCCACTTGAAAGCAAGAACACGAGGAACAATCTTCCCTGAAGGTTTTGCAGTCTTGATGGAGTAGAAATAATATCTTCCAGGGTTTTTAAATGTGATTTTTTTTGCATCTAAGAATAACATGACCAATATACATGTATCATTTTGTATTACTGCCTCTATTTATCATGTACTAGTATTTCCATTAAAGTCTCTGCTTTATATTGGGGGGGAGGGAATAACACTATTAGCAAAAGCACTGTTATGATTTCCAGCCCTTTTGAAATAAGAATGTTGTTACCACAGAAAATTTAAGTAGAGAATAAGAGTCACAATGCAAAATATTGAAACAAATTGAGCCTATTCTTAAGCGATATAATCTTGAATGACAGCACTTAAAATTTGTATATAACAAATATGAATTAGCATTTGTTAACATCTGAAGGAAGTGCTTTTTATATAAACCTTGGTATAGCTCTGAATAAACACAAGAAGGTTGAATTAGGAAAATTAGCCAAGCTTTCAAATATGAATAACATCTATATCAAATACAGATTTATACATATACATCTTTTCTCTGTGATTGATTCTAGTCAAATTAAATTCATATTTTCTTACCCTTGAGAAAAGATATGAAACTGGGTTCCTAAAAAGTCATCGAATTACAGATTATTATTGGTATATTTTATGTTATACAGGTGTGGAGTAATATTCTCCTGAAACTAGTTACTAAGGTCCTGGTAAGGAATTACAACTAGCACATTACCAAATACTTGTTTTGTTGTGTATCCCCCCCCCCCCATACTGATCAAAGGAAACTTTCATGAGTAACAAACACAGTGTATTTAATCTTGCTGTAAACCACAAAAAATTTGTGTTCATCTTTTGATTTAGTTTACTAGCATTTAATAGCAAATCTGAACAGCACCAAATTGAACACATGAATTTCTTCCTTATGTGTAGACTCATTGCTAACATTTAGGATCTGGAGCAAAAAAAAAAAATTCTGAAAACATTTTTTTTTTTTGGGGTCCGGTCGTGGGGCCTGAACTCTGGGCCTGGGTGCTGTCCCTCAGCTCTTCAGCTCAAGGCTAGCGCTCTACCACTTGAGCCACAGCGCCACTTCCGGCTTTTTTCTTTTTGCTTATGTGGTACTGAGGAATCGAACCCAGGGCCTTGAGCATGCAAGGCAAGCGCTCTACCACTGAGCCACCTTCCCAGCCCTGAAAACATTTATTTTAAGAGAAATACCATCAAATCTCAACTTTCAGACCCAGTCAAAGAGGTCTTTATGAGCTCATGGTTTGATTGGTGGTGGACAGTCCCTAGAGAACCGACAACCTGCCAGAGCTCTCTCCTCTCTGGAAGACAGGTTAGTCCCAGGATCACAGGGGTTTCCTCAATAGCACTGGGCAGAGCTACCCAGATTCATTGCAGGGATAGAGCGCCATTAAAAGATCAGACTGTTAGATGTTGGAGTGTTCGTTGTCTTCTCTAAACTCATTCTCCTGTTAAGTCCAAAAAGAGTATCTGTCTATGTTTTCTTTGAGGACTCAAGTCCTCTTGGCACAGTCAAGCTACACTGTCTCCTGTTTTGTGTTTTTGTGTGATGTATATGAATTTTGCAGATAATGAACATATGTGGGGAAAATAGAATGTCTAAACTTTCATACCACAGCTATACTGGGTACAACCTGGATTAGCAAGGGAGTCTGATTTCTTTCAAATCAATTTAACTGTATAAGCAGCCTGCATAAGGAGACAGCATTGCCTGAGAATGGTAATTACAGTTGCTATACTTGGAATTCTTAATGATTTTTTTAATAAGGCACATTTTTTCAGTTTCTTTCTAATTGCCATCTATTACGAATGCTATCTAAAGTAGAAATTATCATCAAATTACCAATCAGATTGCTATTAATGATTAGAGATTTAGTCTAAAGCTCTCTCTTTTGGCTAAGTACCCATTTGTGTCAGATGCCTTCATCTCTCCCGTCACTCACTGGCTGAGTCACTCACTAGCACCCATGTTGTATATACACAGAGAATACCTGTGTTCACAGCAGCATGGTCCACTCAGATGGTGGGCCAGAGGCGGTCCTCTCCTAGGATGTGGCTAAAACAGGCTCTTCCTGTATTAAAATAGGAGGGATGAGAAAGTGGAGGTGTGTGGCTCAAGTGCTAGAGCATAAGCCTGGAGCAAAAAAGCCAGGTAAGAGTGAAAGGCCCGGAGTTTAAACCCCAGGTCTTTATGAACTTATAATTTTGAGCTATGGTGGCTGGAAAGTCCCTTGGTGAAAGACACCTGCCTCAGTTGAGCCTCACTCCTATCTAGGAGAAGAGTGATCCGCAATTAATTAGCTAATTACTTCCTTAAAGTGGGAAAGATGAGAAAGAATTCAGCATCAGACAATAATCGTCTTCAATGAAGGCTTAAGAGGATTGTGGACAAATTGATCAGCCCTGCTTGTTTCGTAGTCGGACCTCTCAAATTAAAAGTTTTAAGCAAAAATGCTTAACGTAATAAGTTTGATTTTGTTTGGTCCTAGAACTGAATTCTAGAATTCTACAAGACCTTTCTTGCTTTGTTACTGCTTAAGTCATACAGAAGAGTTTTTAGAAACAGAAGCAGCAATACATCATGAAATGGTTGAATAAGATGGGAGCCTATTCAAGACAGTGATTTTACATTATGATATCTACCCTAAGTTACTCTCTGTCAATGAAACCATGCTTGAAATTTCTTCTTCCCACTCATCCTTGCACATTAGCACTTCATTTGAGCTGTCCTATATTCCTTCAACAAAAGAAGTTGCAAAATAGCTTTCCTGAACACACTGAATTTATGTACACCATGTTTTACCTCCAAAATGTGTACTGGGTTGAACATGGGGCTTGTCCTTGGTATTTTCTTAAACGTACGATTTGGATGTTTTTAACACAACTCAGTTCTTGAAGTACAAATGGGAAATATTTTCTTAAAGCAAGAAATTGAAAATATTTCTTAAACCCAATAATAAAAGAAAAGAGTTGGAATCCAGCATCGGGAGATTATTCAACATTTAAAGTGTGACCATGCTATTCCGTGTTCACCAAACAAACATGAGAAATTTTAATTTGAATTGTTCTGTTTTCTGACAAGAAACAGAGCATGGCCACAATCGTCATATGTTTATCTTGAATGCTTTTCTTGTTATGTCTCTTTTGATTATTGGGCTTTGATGCCACAAACCAACCATATTACATATAGTAAAATGCGAATCAAATATACTGTTTTGGATCAATGGCATAAATTGGACATTCTGTGAAGTCAATATTAACCAGAAATCTATATTTTGAGTATGTCCCAAAGCAAATATTTATAAAAATGTATTAGTATGTTTTCTTACCTTAAGGTCAGCTATATTGAATATAATTGTATCTTTGATAATTTTTTAATCTTGATAGTTGTCTAACATGCATAATCTTTGATGCCAATATTCATTGCATTCCAGGTGTTACATCAAAACGAAATTGTGCCATGCCCAGTATTCTTGTGTCTCATATGCCTCTAGGTTGGATCCTTAAAAGGAGCTTGCTGTCTGAACATAGAAAGCAGAGGAGAAAAGTGCTATTGGTTGAATTCCACATCTATTGTTCCTAGATTACTTCGATGTTTCTTCTCTCCTTTCGGGAACTCTTTTTGTCCTGGGGATATTTGTATATAACACACCAAGAATAGGACACAATATGACTTAAAATTTTGTTTACAGAGGACCTATAGGAGTGTGCTGTTCATGTGAATCTAGCCTTTGCTGTATCCCCTGTGTGAGAGAGTATCATCCTCTTTTCATTCTACATATTGTGCCTGTGGTTTGTTTTTTAAGTGCTCATTTCTACAACCACATAATTCACCTTTATCTATAGCCAACTTTTTTGGCACCCGTATAAAGAAAAGCAAATGCATTCGGATAAGGTTTTCATGTTCTTATTGCAAATTGGACAACCGTAGCCTTTTGTAGACCTCTACCTGCCTGATTTGCTAATTATCTACAATGCTGCCGTGGAGACGAGGCTGTTTGCTTCCGCCTGCTTTGTCCCAAGTGGTGTTTGAGAAACGAAGCCTGTGAATTTCCCTCTGTGATAATAACACAATGAGCTCAGCACTTCCTCAGATAACTAAGCTGACCATCTCAGCCTGCGCCTGGTGTTTTCACACAGGGAACCAGAAGTCTTTCCCTGTCTGCTTTAATATTTGCTGTTTCACCCCTACAACTGAGTATATTTTGTTCTGTTCACCAGCGTTTCCTGATGCTGATGTCATTTGTGGTCCTTTTAGTTTGCTGTGGCCACCTGCAAATAACAGCAATTTATGCTCTCTGCTGTCTAGCCTGTAACTCTATTCTTTTTACTAAAAATTCTGCCACAGGATGATCATTAGAAATATCATCTGTGCCAACTCATGAACTTGAGGACAACTAAACCATTTTTGGAAAATACCATTTTTTGTAAATACTGAAACAGATTTCCATGAACTTTATCTTACTCTTAGGAAAATTAAAAGAAAGGGGAAAAAAACACACCTTGACTACAGAAATCAAATAAGCTCCGTTTGCAATGGCCAAGGATATAAATGAAGATGGAGTGGAAAAATTCTGTCCCACAAGGAATCAGTAACATCTGCCAGAGGTCATTACAGCTACTTTTAACTGCGAACACTCACCAGCTAAACTACTCACTTGCCACAACCAAATAACCTCTCTCAAAGTAAGTCCAGTACATCTGTGCATATGTGTATATAGATACAGCAACAAACCCTGCAACATTCCTTCTGGCTATTGTGAAAATCAAGGTAATGATCATTAAAAAGACATTTACATAACCATGGGACCTGGTGAAATGATTCTGAGGACCAGATGGTGCCACATGACATTATTCCCAAGTCTTTTTAAGACCCAGATATCTAAGATCCTAATCATAAGAATAAAGACTGTTGCCTATGAAAGTATAGCCAAGCAATAATGTGCCAAAAAAGAAGCAGTGAAACTAGCAAGTGCATCTTTTATGGGCACACCATGATTTCATTGTGGTTTGTTCTGTGAAGACTCACTCTGACTATAACCTAGAATATAAAATAAGCAAAGGAATAATTTCTGCTTTCTTGCGGGGAAAAAAAATGAGAGCTCCTGAAAGAGATACAGCCCTGATGAGCATGAGGAAATATGCAGTTGACATCTCTGTTTTCATGCTA